TTTTTTTACTGTAGGCAAGGGTTGCTGCAGCCCCAGAGCAACTTGGTAGGAAATCTTTGCCTCTGTGATCTTATTGATGCCCATTTCCCTGCAGATCTCAATGTCAGCAGCTTGTGGAGCAAAGTTTGGGTTCTTTGGGTGCCCAAATTAAAGCAGTTTGAGACTATAAAATGCTCTTGGGTAGTTTAGAGGTTACAGTTCCTTTAGAGGTTATAGTTTTTCAAGCTGTTCAGTGGGTCCAGCTGCTTTTCCTCCTCCCTGCTAGCAGAGTAAGAGACCAGAATGTGAACTAAGGAGTGGTACAACACAGTGTTTTCATACTTGGTGAGGTTTGGCTTGGGCATCCCCAAAATCCCAGGGCTCTGCTGGGATCTGGGCCAGGCAGAGCTTTGTCTTAGGGTGGATTTGTCCCACAGCAGTTCAGGATGGGGAACCTTGGCTGGAGAGGACCCAATCTACCCAAGGTCTGAAGTTGGGGGTCCCAGGATGGGGATCCCTACCCTGACTGCTCCTCATAATCCTGATGTGGAAGCACTGATGGTGCTGGGATGAAGGAGCACTTAGTCAGCACTGGGTTCTGGGGCTGGGAGGGTGGCAGGGACTGTGCTGTCCTGGGATTTCTTGCCTGAATGGAGCCCTTGGGATAAGCAAGGGCTGAGGAGGTGTCCAGGTGCTGCAGTCCATGCCTTGTGCCAGCTCCTGCCCTGGGCTAACATCCCATTTTTTGGTGTTGCTTCACTTCTTGTCTCTTTTTGCTTTGCTGCTTCTACTGTGATTTTTAGATCTCCTTTCGAATGCACTACGAGCTCTCCTGTGCTTCTCTCTTTCCTTTGCAGCCTCACGTGGGAAATGCCTCTGAGTACCACTGAAAGCAGCTTGTGTGTGCTCTCTTTTGGGTTAGTAAGTAGGACTTCTCTTGATTAATGTTGCATGGAAACCACTTTGGGCAAAGACTAAGGAGCAGAAGGAATCTGCTGTATAAAACCTGTCAGTAAGGAGAACCTGAGAGGGGGAGGACTATGTCACCAGGCTGAGATCACTGATCCAAGGGGTTCCAACTGGGCTTACTGGTGCTTGTGCTGCTGCAAAAGTGTGTTTTATTCCAGGTCTCAGGTGTGTCTTCCATTCACCTGGACCAAGGTGTGATGATGTTACTGATTGTAGGGATTTTGCAGGAGTCATTGGATTGGGGCCTGGATAGGAGTGATGCTGCTGCTGCTGCTGAGCAGGCACAAAGCTTTGGGTAATCCTCTTGCAGAGCTGGGTTTAGGGCAAAGAAGGTAAAGCTGGTTCAGTTTCCAGATGTTTGGGGCCAAGAAAGGGTTCCAGTTTGGAGGGGAACTCTCTCCTGTTTCACTGTGGTAGGGTGGTCCTCATGGTGAGGACTCACTGCCAGAGGATTTGGCTCCTCTCTACCCGGTGAGGATGTCTCAGCATTCCTCCAGGCCTGAAAAACTCTTGCTGGAATGAATTTGGCTGTTTGGATATGCAGTTTTTTTCACTTTAATGTCCTTGAAGTCTCCACTCCATACCTGGAAGGTTGGATGGGACTTGAAGCAGCATGGACTTAGGGAGAAGTGTAGTCCTGAAGTGCCACAGCTGAGCAGAGCAGGCCCTGGAGCTCTGCTGAGGATTTTCTGTGCATGAACAGCAGCTGTGGGAAATCCTGGAGTTTAATTTGTGTGATTTGTAAACCTAGAATTTACCTGTAACTCTCTGTTCCTGTTGTCCATTGGACACTCAGGGAGGCAGTAGATGGAGTTTTATCAAAACTCTTCAGTATTTATTGTGGTAAATATGCAAAATGATGATTGTAATGGTTCTTAGGTTGTCCTGGAAGTGTGTTTTCTTCTGGAGAAGGTAAATAAAGTGAGTAATCCTGAGTAAGCAGCCTGTTCCTCCCAAGGGATGCTGAGCTTGTGTGTGGTCTCAGGCTGTGATGGGGAAACCCTTCAGGGAGTACTTGGCAAGAGGTTAAAGTATGATGCAAAGTGTGAAAACAGCTCATTGTGTGGAGCTAAATAAGGAAATCCTCAGGTGGTTCCTGTCAGGTAGAGCAATTCCAGGGAGCTGCTTGGATCCTCCTGTCAATGTGTCTGTCCAGCCTCAGAGTCATCACCTCCTTTCCCATCTCCTGACTTAGCCTTGGGGTAACCTCTGTGTATGTTTTCTTTGCAGAGCATGGCTGGTTTAGCAGTGTAGAGGTTGGAGCTTTCACCTCGGATTCAGCTGGGAATTCCATGGCCAGGAGGATCCCTGTGGCTGGGACTGGAGCATCCCTGGAGCACAGTGAGCCACTTGGGCCAGTACTTGCCTTGAACTGTGTTTTTAGAGTCTCTCTGTGTCTTTTCTTTCCAAATGATGGAATGTTTATCCATGAGATTGGAGAAAATTTGTTATGGAGACTTTTAAATCTGCTTTTAATGTGTGTGAGCCAACATATCCCTGAGCTTTTTGGGGTGTTAGAACAGTGTCCCACATCTTTCCTCCTGGTTAGGTGCCAAAACTAACCACAGTGTGAGGACAGAATAGTCATGTTCATACTCACTGTGGCAACTTTTCCTTTGGAAGAGGCATTGCCAGACCAAATCCCTGAGTTTTTATTTATCCATTACCATTTCCAGGTTATTATTTCCAGGTTCAGAAGCAGTTATTGTGTTATTTAACCATCCAAAAAGCTCCAGGTAGTGTTTGACTTTGCTTCTACAACTGCTGGTATGAGTCTCCTGATCTGAGCCTGTTCTTTTCCTCTAGGAAAGTTTTTCCTCTGGATGTATCATATGGCACTTGTCAGGTCAGGCATCCCACGTGAGGGACAGATGGGAATAAAACCTCCTGCCCCTCTCTGGAAGCAGCACAGCTACCAATGCTTTTAAATCTCACCTCAACTCCTACTTTACCTTTACATCCCAACCTAAACCTCTTCCTCTCACTCATTTTTCCTGCCTTTTATGGCTTGTTTTAGCCATTACCCCAGAAAACAGGAGCACAGCTCTGCTTGGTGGCTGGGACTAGCAGGGCCCCAGGCAGGGTTTGCAGAAAGCACATGATTTTTTACCAGTTGTCTTTTTAATATACCAAATTTTAGGCCCACAACCAGTTTTGAGCTTGCCTCTGGATCAGCTGTGAATGTTACCTATGTCCAATGCTGCCTCATAGCTGAAGCTGGTTTAGTGCTTAGAGCACAGATGTGTGTGGCTGTGTTTTACTGAAATCTTCACCAAATCCCCAGGTTTTTAATTTTCTCCCACTTGCATTTTGCCAAACTCCATTTTAATCCCACTCCTACTCTTCTTGCAATAAGGGCAAAACCCTCAGCTTGGCTGAAGAAAGGAGCATTTGGGTACAGAGCAGAGGCTGTTCTGGACCTGCTGAGTCCAGTTGACTCCAGGATTTTATCTGAGCAGTTTTAGGGCCCAGAAGTTGTTTATTTTAAAGATGGTAAATAAATGTTGGATATACCCACAGCAGGAAAACTGTGCCCTGGCTGTGGAGGAGCTCAGCAGCCTCAAAGCCTGAGACACCTACATGGGCATTTTGAGCTCCAACTTGGTTGTTTTAAACACTCCCAGAGCTTTTATTTGATAGCCAGAGATAGAGAGGACCAAGGCACTAATCCTGACCCCCTTGGGGTTTCTGAGGAGAAGAAACATATGTGGATCTAAAGCCATTGTGCCACAGAGGGATGAAATTTAGTGGTGAGAAATCGTGTTAGTTTTGTTCCTCAGGCTTCTCCCCTCGGGGCACAGGTTTGCTGCAACCATCTGGTTTTGGGTTTTCAATGTTCTGGTGCTTAGAAATAAGCTAGAAAAAAAAAAAAAAGAGAGAGAAAGTATTGAAGGAAAAGATTTAGAGCCTATCCATGGTGATACTCTGTCACACTCCAGAATGCTCTGAACGCACAAACTCACTCCTGTCAGGCTGCTCTGACCAAAAAAACCTCCTGCTCTGTGGGGGGAAAACAAAAAAAAATAAAAAATAAAAGGAGTAGACATGTACTGTAGGATGTTTACGCACAACACGCTGTGAGAAATCCCTTGCTAAGGAGTTTGTTATGTTTTGTGTCACGGAGTAGTTAATGATTGTAAGGAGATAAAATATATATTTTTACCTGCCAGGATTCATGAATGTTTGTTGTTAATGTGTTGGTGGTTGTGATTTATTTTATTTTATTTTTTTAGCACTGCTAAAAATCAGATGTGCAGCTCAGCTCAGTGATTGAGGGTTCCTTATTCCCATCCAGTGGGTCCTTGTGTTGGTTGATATGAAGCTTCAGCTATCTTTGCTGCCAGTGCTTTAATTAAAGCCTAACTCTAGCCTTTTCCTGCTGCATTTTAGCCATTAAAAGGTGTGTGTGTTTCAAAAGATAAGTGTCTAGAGCAGAGCAGCAGCAGATTTGTCATCAGAGCAGGTCTGAGGGTCCTGCAGGGCTGGGGTGGTTTCCAATAGACCCAAAAATCTGGCAAATCTGTGCCAGGTATTTCCTTGAAACCACCTGATTTCCTTGGCACTGTGTGTGCAAATACTCCAGAATAAACAATGATTGCACAACAGGTTTTTAGGTTGGTTTTTTTTTTATGTTTGTGATTGAACAGGATTAGCAGCAGCTTGTGCTGTCAGTAGGGCTGGGCAGGTGGAGGTGGTGGATTTGGTGGTGGATATGGGCCTGGCACCTTCCTGAGCATTGCACCAGGAGTTCTGGGGTTCTGTAACCCCCTGACTTTGTGGTCCAGGTGTTTGTAGGCAGTAAAGGTGGTGGTGGCTGTTGTCACCTTCAGTGAGCAGTGGCAATGCCACCTGTAGGACCTGCCTCGCTGTCCTTATGGGTCACTGTAGAGAAAAATGATCCCTCAGGCAAAACCTGCTCCATCTCTGCTGCCAGCAAGGAGGAAAATTGGAAAATGGGGAGAGGAAAAAGGCTTAATCCAGCCTGGGTAGCTTATTTGTGTCCACTGGCTGTGACGTTAGAGCTGCCACCTCTGCCAAGTTCCCTTCCCGGCATGGGTGAGAGGAATCCTGGCACCAGGGGTCAGGGAGCAGCTGTGGGAGGAGAGAGATCACTTCCAGCACATCCAGGACCCACCTGCCCTGGGGACATGTCCCCAAGCCTCACCCCATGCCCCTCTGAAAGGCACTGGGTGAGCATTGCCAGTGCCACCTCCTCCTGTCCTGCTCCTCTCTCTCTGAGCACTGTTTTCAGGCTGCACCTCTGCATTTAGTGTGTGGTGAGATGGATGTTCCCTGTCTGCTTGCAAAACCTTTTTCCAGCTCTACTGCCTTCTAATGGGTTGGGGTTTTTGGGTTTGTTCTTTTTTTTTTTTTAAGGTTGGAAAAAAAACCTGCATTGTCTGTCAAGTTGTGCTGTATGTTGTGTGCTCTGTGCACTCGAGCAGAAATAGCCATCAGTGTTTATTTGCAATAAAGAGATTTGAAAAAACACAGGTTATTTCCTCTGTTTTTTTTTTTCTAGTCTTTGCTATAACTCTCCATTGTGTCCTGGTTTTGGAGAGAGAGTGGTGGGATTTGGCTTGGAAATGAGGAATCTTCCACCCTACTGCTGTTCCCTTTCCTTCATCAGTTTTAAGGGTGTTTTTATTGGAATTCAGAATTTCAGGTTTTCCATGGAGCTGTTAGGGTAAGAATGCTGGGTTTTTTTAAGTATATCTCATTTTCTAGGATGAAGAAAAATAAACCTTAAGAGCAGCAACTGGTGTGACTCTGATTTCCAGCACCTGCAGCTGGAAACCAGCTGGTCCCAAAGGGTCCAGCCACAGCCTGAAGAGCAGTGCTCTTGGATGTGGCCAAGGAAAAATCCTTTTATCCTGTTTATACCACTGCAAGCTGTGGGCTGAGGATGTCTTGGGGGTGTTAAGCAGCTGGCAGAGCAGGGGATGGTTTTCAGTGTGGCTGATGCCCTGAGTGCTCTGTGCAGATGCTGAATAACCCCCTGGATGCCCTTGGGGAAGCTGTTGACTTTTTAGCCCACAAATTGGCTTGTTGAGAGTTGTTAGGCTTTATAGACTTGCATTTTTCCAAGGTTTGTGTTTGTGATTAACTGGATTCCTCTAAGTAATCAGTGGAGGTCGATGCCTATGGTGAGCAAGTCCCTCCCTGCTCATGGGTTGAGTGCTGGCACAGCCTCCTGTGTGTTCTGCAGAGTAGGAACTGCATCAGGTGAACTTCAGCAAGGTAATAAATCCCACTCAGTGTAGGCACAGGGTAAATTTCAACATCTGCTTGGGCTGCATTCGGTTTTCTCCTCTTTTGCTCAGTGGGTTGGTTGAACTAGCTTCTTCCTGCTGGAGAGGAGTTAATGATTTATGGGTCAGCTGGCACAACTCTGGTTTCTGCAGAATTTCCAACTTGTCTGCATGGAGCCATATCTGAGCATGTAGGCATAGATTAACTCCTCCTTTAGCCCTGCCAGGAGCCTGAGGAGCTGCATGAGAACACTCACTGCTTTGTCTGGCAAGTGCTGAACACGCCAAGTCCTTCTATCTTCTCCCTCCAGGTAAGACAACTTTGAGATGTGCAGCTCCAGGGATTGCTTTGGGAACTGCCTTGGAGCTCTTGTGCAACTTCAGCAGGCACAAAAGATTAGTAAACTACATCGAATTCAACCAAGAGTTGCAGCAAGGATTGAAGGAGGAATGAAACAGCCAGGAGAAGTGTTGGGTTTAAGGCAGAAAGCATCGAGGAGGACACTTCCAGGAGGAAGTGTA